ATTGAGTTTTTATCAAGAAATAAACGACAAAGCACTACATTCTCGACTTCTGATTTCTTTCCATAGTTTCATGTTAACAACGTAAAGGAAGAACTCAGAAGAAATTTACTCAGTCAAGTGGTTTATGTATATGAGAAAAGAAAGACAGCTTAGTGTTGGACCCTGAAGAACCCCATTTAGACATAGAAAAACTTACTTGCACTTTAAATAAATGAACATGTGAATAAGGTGACAACCAGGTTTAATTTACTTCTCAACATTTTTTACTCCATTCTATTATACCTCTGTGAATCAAAAATTAAAAGTGAAGGATTTAAACAAAACTACAGGTACTTGACGTAGATTATTATCTTAGAAATGCTTATATATAATGGAATCACTATGTGAAGTGTGAGGATGATGGTAGGTGTATGGTAATCAACAGCTGATGTGAGGTTATCACCTCGGTTGATTCCGATGTCCAAGGTGTGTTACAAACACTTAGTTACAGTCTTTACCGACACACCATATTACTTAGGATAGGGTTCATTCAATAAACACTAAGGGTGACCAAATTAAAACATGATATTAGTTTTTGACATTTCTGATCGTTGGTGTAAGCGGTGAAGTGAAATGTAGATTGCATAGTTAAAGTATGAAAAGCAAATAAACTTGATGATTGAGCGAATATACACAGTGTAAAGCAGATCATAGTAATTTATTTCTTCGGTTGTCTCTTATTTGTTGGTTAGCTTTCTGTGACAGAGAAGTACACATTGTATCGTATATTTGAGCAAAGTAAGAAGAACAAAATTACGCAGAATGAAATACGACAGCATATTTTACATGAAAACTCAGCTGTTGCATACAGTGTAAAAATACAATGATTATTACCACGAGAAATATTTCATAATAAGAAAGTTACTAGTCAGAAGTTATAGAACAAAATCATAGATAATGCATACGATAAGTAGTTATTATCATTATTTGCCCCTTGGATTCCTAGTGGAACATAGGGCTTCAGTAGCACAGATCCATTTCACTCTCTTCTCTCCAGTCCTCTTAACCTGGCCCCACCACTGCCCATAAACTTTCATTTCTTCCTCACACCATCTCCACCATGTCATCCTCGGACATCAAACTCATCGTTCCCCCTTTGACTCCCACTAGACCGCCTGGCCTAATGCGTGATGTCCACAAATGGTCTTCTCTGTCTATGCCTAATCCAATCCATCTCCACTCTCTTCTGCTGCATATTTGTTCGGCGATGGGTTGTTAGTTTGGTTCTTTGCCAGGTCAGAGTTTCTCCTTGCTTATTCTTTCTCACCTTCTCATCTGATCTTCAGTGTCAGTATTGAGTGAGTGTAGGCGGCAGCTGTTGATGTATGCATGCAGTTTGTTCGAAATGCCTTTCGTAACGCTCCGAGTCCCTCAAACATCACATAGAAGCACTGACTGACTTCACTGACTTAGTGTTGAAAATCTGGACCTTGTTCATGCTTTGTACTGAGTGCCGTGCAGTGCAATAAGCCTTCAGATTGATGAAGACCTGACTTGCTGTCTTTCCCATCCTGGCTTTGACGTCCTCATCTGTACCTGTACCGCCTGTATTGGAAACGATGCTGCCTAGGTATGTATGTATGTATGTATGTATGTATGTAGGTAGGTAGGTAGGTAGGTAGGTGTGTAGGTAGGTAGGTAGGTAGGTAGGTGGGTAGGTGAAACAGACAACTTCCTTCACATTCCTCCTGTTGATGGCGATTGTTGTTGTCATTGTTGTTGGTTGGGTGTTATCTTCATCATCTCTGTCTTCTCCACGTTCAACTGAACGAAGTCTCATCTTCGCTGCCCGGCACCTCCTGTCAACTTGTTGGTTTTTGCCTGTAAGTTTCGAGTTTGCGCGACAAGACACTAGACATAAACCATCGTCGGCGAAATCCAAGTATCCTCCTCTTTGCATAGCGCAAACAGCTTATGCCCATCTTCTTGCTCCTCACAGTTCGTCGCATGATCCAGTCCAGTTCAGTCCAGTTGACCACAATCACCTAGATCATCGGTGATGGTAGGCGAACTTTTCTCACCTGTCAACCTGTCTTCACTTCAAAGGCATCACTGAACTTTCCATTGTGAATCGCTCGGCATGCAGCATCATCATATAGCATATAGCTGTTGAATGAGGTTGATAAAGGTTTGTGGCACTAAAACCGTGGCACTGAAGCACCTGCCAAATTAATTCTCAGTCGACGCCTCAATCGAAGGCCTTTTCAGAGTCGATGAAGTTTAGGTAAAGAGTTGATTTGACAGCCATTCTATGCTCTATTATATGACGGTGCGTAGCTCAGTGCTGCAATTTGATCAATACATGATTTGTTCTTCCTGAAGCCAACCAGTCAGTCTGTTCCCCTCGTAATTTTGAATACGGAGCATTTTTAGTCTCTCCAGGACGATGCGGCTTAATATTTTGCTTTGTGTGGACAGGAGCATGATTTTGTGCCAGTTCTTGCCAACACTTAGGTCTCCCTTCTTTGAGAGTTAGCCCTTCTTCCGACTGGCAGGTACCTTTGCTTCCTACCTTCCTTCCTTGCAAACCCTTTGCAATACAAGTGGTGTGAGCATATCTGCTGATGTCTCTGTGTCTGTTTCCAGTGCTTCTGGAGGGATTCCATCTGATCCTGCTGCTTTCCCAGCTTCTAGTAACTTCACTTTTGTTTCTGTCGGAGAGCTTGTGTTCACTGATATTTCTGTGACTGTCCTGCTGGTAGTATTTTTGGACGAGTTTCAGGTGGTGGTCGATTAAAGAGTTTTTTGAAGTGATCAACCCATCGTTTCCTTTGTTCCTCCTTTATGGTATCTGAGTTTCCTTCACTATCTTTCATTGGTTTCATCTGTGTTAATCTCTTCCATTGGAGATAGTAACCTAGTTATTTGATTTAATGTTGTCAGGTCTCTGTCTCTCCTACCTGCAGCCTGTTCTGTTTTACTTTCCAATGCGTGGTAGAAGTGTCTTTCGTCTTTGCGCGTACTCTTCACTTATTTGTCCAGTGTAGTGTTTTATAGGTTATACTCAGTCCCTCTTTTCGTTGTTCATTCCTGCACTTCAGCGCACTGAGTCATCTTCTGCTTCACCATATAACAGAACTACTAATTATACAGCGTTAAAAAGGGAAAAAAAGGCAATAATAAATGAATAGTTATGTAGCCGCACTAACTGCACTCTCTTTCTGTATGCGAAGATCAGGTTTGAAATAGCTTCCATGAAACACAATAATCCAGAAATTTTCGTTACATTTATTATTTTAAAATTACTCGAGGTTTCAACCTGATGTCATGTATCTCTTAGGTGTCTGGCAATTGAACTGGTTACAATTGTACTTACTTTTAAAAACAGATTCTTAAGGATATGTGCTCAATGAACAAAATAGATACTCAACTCTCAATATACTTGCTAATGTAAGTGGACATGAATTCATAAATCCAGTTGAAGTTGATATGAGCAAGGTAATTATCTAATTTTGAGTGATCATTTTAACTATATAATCCTATTGTTAAGTAGCATGAATTATTATTTCTTAATTACATTTCTCCTCCTTTGGTATAGTTAACGATTCTCTAACATTTTTATAAATGATTTTGTTGTACAACTTAAGATTCATAATTTCCTAGTTATGAAATATATTTTATATCCTAATAACAATTTTACTTTTTCAACGATATCCTTCTTCTAAAACTATACAATTGTATTTATATATCAATACATCATAAACATATAACAGTCTATTTTATAAAACAATGGGGTATAATTACATCACTAAGCTGCCTAGTGCTAAAACAAACTGGAATCAATAATGCAAAGTAGTTGTGTGATAATCTATTAGACAGTAGAAATAACGAGAAAGGCAAGGAGTTTGACAAGGTGAAAATTGTTGGTAGATAAGATACGCAAATATTGAGTGTCCACTTGATAGATAGGTAGATGGATGTAAAGAAGGTGAAGAATGAGACAAGGGTCATAATGAAGATGATAATAATAAACTAACTAAACATAATGAAATCGAAAATAAGTTGTGAAAGTGTTAAGACCATGGTAAGATGACAGATTGAACATACTTCTTTTGCACAAAGAGATCAGGCTTGAAATGATGAATTGCCAATGCCTCCACTATGCACAACTGTCAAAGATCTACTCCTTTTGAACTATTCCATATGACACGATAAATGACACTGATCGAGCTTTATGTCCATAGTTGACCAAATGTTTAACAATTAAACTGTTAATTGATTTACATTCTCCCTTCGACAACCATGCAGGATAGTAGTGCTCAAAGATACGTTTGGAAAGTGTGCACTTTGTGCGGTCTTATCCTTCACCCTCTTTACATCTACCTATCTATCAAGTAGACACTCAATATTTGTGTTTCTTATCTACCAACAATTTTCATCTTGTCAAACTCCTTGCCTTTCTCGTTACTTCTACTGTCTAATAGATTATTACGCAACTACTTTACATTCTTGACTCCGGTTTTTTAGCACTCGGTAGCTTAGTGGTGTAATTATACCCTATTGTTTTATAATAGACTGTTATATGTTTATGATGTATTGATATATAAATACAATTGTACAGTTTTAGAAGAAGGATATCGTAGAAAAGAGAGAATGTTTCTTCGCTGAATTATCTCTTCTCTATGACTCAATGGGCATGTTTCGTAGTCTAACCCTTTTACTTTTACACTGTATGTATGCAACCGAGGAATATACATGAAATTTAAATGAGATCGCATTCTATTCTACAAATCTCCACCTTCTTGTTTTCACCAAATTTATCAAGGGATTAAAATCCATAAAGATCGTATATTATCTCAGTTTGTCTGAGAGGTAGTACACCAGATTTAACATAAACAGCAACTATATACAGACATTTTATTTACAAACAAATGAATAATAATTATATGATGATAATTTGGTTGGGTGTGGCTAGCAGAAGAATCCAGGACACGCATTTTGTCCTATTTGGGACTCGTCTGCTAGCCACAAACAATGATTAATAATTATCATAATTAACATTCAGGCAATATCGAGGCATCCGTATAGGAGCCCATATGCCAATAGACGTCAAACAATTCAATCCAACAAAACAACGGAGAATAACAACTATGACAATAAATAGTAATAACTATGACCCGTTGTACAAGAAGTGGTTATCGTTCCTCTGTGGCACACTGGACAACGCCTTGACGTTTGAAGCGATGGGTAAGAGGTTCGAGTCTCGGTGGGAACAACATCACTGGGGTGCAGGTGAATCCAGCTGACGTGTCCCAAATAAGACGGAACGCGCGTCTTGGATTCTTCTGCTAGCCACAACCAGCCAAATTATCATAATTAACATCCAGGCAATCAATATCGAGGCATCCACATAACAGCCCATATGCCAATAGAGGTCAAACAATTCGATTCAATAAAACAACGGAGAACAACAAGTATGTCAGTAAGTAGTAATTATAGTATATTATATACAATAATATTGCCATTTAATTGAACAGCTATAAGACTATCAAATTCATTGGGAACAAATTGATTCGGTATCCAGACTACATCAGTAATCATAGAATTTGGAGATACTTTAATCTCTGGCAACTTTTTCAACATTGATGTTATCATTGGTTGACATGTGTTATTTTTGAGCATAGCTGACCACCATATAACTGGACTAGACAATGACCATGAACCACTAGCCAATAATCTTCCTGAAGGATTATAGGCTAAACCTAGAGGATGACCTTGAATCTATATACAGGTAGAATGAACAAACAAATGTTAATAATCAGTGAAAATACCATTAAAGAAATCATATGATATCTGAAATAAAGCATAAAATATTTATGAGTGTAATGATATTCAAAATTATATTTGTAATTTTAGTTAAAGAAATAGAGTAAATTGTAAAACAGTGAAACTATCATTGCAACTCTCCGGTAGTGGTGTTCAAAACATGATTTAATGGTCATATTGTTCTGTCCTTGAGATGAACAACAGAAAGTAAATGAAGTGTCCAACACGTTGGCATTGACACACAAGTACATGTGACAATACTAGGTTGAACATGTGATGCACTGCTGCTGCCACGATTTGCAATGCTGAGAGAAGTTGGATTATGTTGGAAACGTGCTCACATTGGCCAGACTAAGATATGTCAGTAGTCCATAAAATCCCTGGCCATTGGTCTGAGCATTGTAAAAAGGTATAGAATACCTGTGAGACGACACAAATTAGTCGATGAGGTTAGAGTTTAGTCACAATGGCTCACATGTGTCGATTTGTTGATGTTCTAGAGGTTGAGTATTTTGACGAACCTTAGTTTTAAAATTCCCTCTCCCACCATACACCTTTGTCTGTTTTCATAGAAGTCCTTCTTATCCACTACTAATGTGAAGTGTGGCAACTTGAGGTGATGCATTTATATGCGAGATCAGACGCTGATTTTGACTGTCTATCTACCAATAGCCATAAATCAATTCAGTCCGGTCGACGACTGGAAACTACAAGCAAGAACACCGAAACTATATTCATCAAGAAAGGAGTGGCTGTCATGGTCCACAGACACAGGCAGACAAAATCAAAGTAGAACCTTACACACAAGTGGATCACCATAAGTTACTACACTTCACAGCAGTATACAAAGAACAAGTGGCTAGGAAAAGACTGAGATCAAAGTGGATAAAGTTGTCTGAGAGGATAAACAATTGGATGATACAGGTGAGCGTAAATATTCAAGTTTTAGAATACGTCAAAGAGTGGATACATCAGCGCCATATTCACCCATTTTTAGCCATGTCACCAAAAGTCCTCAATCACTAATTCTTTTCGTATCGGTATTGGTAGTCGACATCTCCTTACACGACTCAGACAAACAGTCATGTACTTCATCGACTGATGCCACCTCTTGGTCTGGCCACACTGAACCCTCTTAGAACCTCATCCAACTTCCTCTCGCATGGTACGTCGATGTAGGCGGTGGCTCGGCACCTACAGTACATCTCCAAGTCATCTCAATCGACCTGTGTCGATAGGTTCACAACTTCATCAATCAACTTACCTGTCTCACTTAGTGCGCTTCACGTGACTGATCTCAACATTTCTCACCTGGTGATTCCATAAAACGCCAACAGTACTACGAAGATACTTATCGTCAAAGAACTGCAACCACATCATATCTTCTACTACTAACGGCCGTGCCTCACAGCCGTACAGCAGGGTAGAAGGAACTGTAGTGCAGTATACTCGTCCTTTTATAGGTGGTCAGATACCTCCTACCCAGTCTGCGCTACAGGTGGTTCAATTTAGCAAATGCCAAACGACCCATCTATATTCGAGCTAAGACTTCATCAGCCTCCATTGCTTTTGGGCTGATGTAACTTCCCAAGTAAGTGGTTCGATCGAAGCATACAACCACTTCACTCTTCGTCCTCAAACTAGCAGTAGGTGCAGAAGAACCGATTGGTCATGGGTTCGAACCCCGCCCCACCTACAGAGGTCTGCGCAGCTGTGTAGTAGGTACCATTAGTTTTCACACAGTAGACGCAGGTAATTGCCTACTGCATAAAAGTGTAGGTAGTCGCTGCATGGATTTTAATTGTTCATTACTATACACATATACACGTAACATGAAACTGAATTCTTGAAAAGAGCGTTATACAAGAACTAGGGAACTCGATGACCAGGTGTTACGTATTTACTTGATCATACTTATAATTTATTTGAAAAAAGGTATGATCACTATAATTTAAACCATATATTGATATATTGAATATGCTTTTATTAAAACAACTAACTTGATGACCTTCATAACGCCAACGTTTCTCTAAATGATAAGATAATCGATTTGATGTTGTAGATCGTTTCATACTTTTTCCATTAATTTCTATAATTGCATCACCTTGAGTTTGTACAGCAAAACAAATTGTTTGGCTGGAATAAGATTTCGGTTTTAAAGCTAGTCTATTGCATCCCCAACGTTCCTGATATACATATTATATGTATAAATAAACAGGATAAAAAACAAAACAACCAGTTAAATTATTTCTGAATGTAGGATATTAGTAATCGGAAATCAATCACACCAATTCATAGCAAATATGATAACTATTGTGTGCATTTCCATCTGAAGAACTCAGTCAGTAATGATGACATTCAAACAAATCACTCTGATCTGATTCTATCAGATTTAATATGTTTCCAATTTGGAGGTTTGTGGAAACCTATGAGCACTGGACAGCTATTTCGTCCCAGTATGAAACTCCTCAGCAGCACGCACCCATGGGTCTGTAATGAATACCAACCTAAAACCAATTAATAAAAGCCTCATAGACCCCCAAGTTGAATTAATATCGTGCTCATCAGTAACTAATTTCGAGAGATGACTCCCAAAATTCCAATGAAAAGTCTTGACTTGACTTACGTGGTCAACCAAGTCGGACACGAGGACAGTTACTCATTGACAGCATTGGAAGGAGGCCGTAGTATATCGTGAACTGACAGAGGTAATAAATGTGGGCCGTTGGATTCCGACCCAGTGGCTAGCTCAATGGTAGCATACTGGTCGCGGAACCTGAAGATCCTGCGTTTGGAGCCCGGCAATGTCATGGGCGTCTACTATTGAGAAGTCCCATACTAGAAAGAAACAGAAGTCCAGTGCACCTAGGTTTCCAATGTTCCTCCAACTAGTATCAGTAGATGATGAATATCAACCTGAAATAATGATTTTCGTTGGATGTTAGGAACCTTGACCTATGTTTCATGCATATTGGAACCCATGAGTAAGGCAAATATGCTGCTTTAAGCAAACTATACATAAATTATCCATAAGTGGAACCTCGCCCAGTTAACTAGCTGGTCCGAAGCCCGGATACTTTTAACTTTTTTTAATTTATTTATGTCATACTTAATTTTGTCACTCTTCGTATTGCTGATATGCCGTGTTTTTGAATACTTCTTATGTTGTGCCAATTTCGCCTTAGTAGTCATGAAACCCCCTTTGACACTGAACATCCATATGTTTTTTCTGGTGTACGTCAACTTTTTCATTATTTTTTCAATTACATCTGCGTATTCTAGGTAAACCGAAATTTCTCCTATGATCAGGTTGATCCTGGTGAAATTGAATATAGAGAAGGAGACCTCCATAAGAATATCTATGATAAAATTGAATGACAATGGAGAGAATGGGCATTCTTAATGGATACCACTGAACGTACACAACTCACTCGACATCTCACCGTAGGCTCTAACAAGCTCACAGCTGTTCGAGTAAAGAGTCTTCAATAAGGTGATATCCTTACTCAGTACCCATTTCAGTGAGAGGCATTTCCATAATCATAATCTAATCATAGCTTAAGGTAAAGCACATGGCTGCTGAGTTCCAACGCAAGAAGAGTTTCCAATGGATCTTTAACTGGTGTTAGTTTGTCATACAAGTAAGTTTTATTCCAAGCTAGTATTCATCATAAACTGAAATCAATTGGAAAACGACTTAGAACTTGGAAGCACTATGAAGGTGTTTCGTCCTGAAATGGGATTCATCAGTTATAAACACCCACTATCTTGCGAGGAGTCGAATAGAAGACCTCTATAGTTATAGGGAAGCATGTCACTATTGAGCCACTTGACCACGATCCAATGTATCACATTTTCCTACTTCTGTTAATTCATAACATAGTAAAACCTTCATCTAATGCCACAGATGATAAATTCTTATTAGAACTTCAAGAAATCACATCTCGAAGCATATCACTAATCAACATTGGATAGTAATTCGGTTTAGAGGTTAGTGAAGATATTATTGGTTTCAAAATGGTTATTGTCAGTTGAAAAACCATTGAAAATATGAAAACATTGGAGAACTGTTTAATTCTACTAATTTCTAAAAGATTAACTAACTTTTATGATTCTGTTTACATAAATGAAGATGCACTGGATTCAAAACTACGATCGGAACAGGCAGGCTTCAGGAAGTACAAATCATGTGCAGACCAAATTACAACGCTTCGCATCATCATAGAACAGAGCATAGAATGGCAATCAGCTCTCTACCTCAACTTCATCGACCTTGAGAAGGCCTTTGACAGCGTCAACCGAGAGGCAATTTGGAAACTTCTTCATTACTACGGAATACCACAAACCTTTATCAGCATCGTTCAACATCTATATGAAGATGCCACATGCCAAGTAATTCACAATGGGAAGCTCAGTGATACCTTTGAAGTGAAGTGAAGACAGGAGTGAAACAAGGTTGCCTACTATCCCCCATGATATTCCTGATAGTGGTCGACTGGATCATGCAGCAAACAGTAGGCAGCGAGAAGAGGAGGATACGCTGGACTGCGGAAAAGAACCTAGAAGACTTGGATTTCGCCGATGACTTGGGCCTAATGTCACATAAACTTGAAGATCTGCAGGCAAAAACTAACAAGTTGATAGAAGAGGCAGCGAATACGGGACTTCAGGTGAATATAGAGAAGACAGAGGTGATGAAGATACCCCACCAACAACTCCAACAACAACAACAAACTCCAGTCACCATGAACGGGAGAAACTTAAAGGAAGTAACCCCCTTCACTTATCTAGGAAGCACTGTTTCAACCACAGGCGGGACGGACGAGGACGTCAAAGTCAGAATCGGAAAAACAGCAAGACAGGTATTCCTTAGCCTGAAACTAGTGTGGAGATCTTCTGCACTCAGCATGCGGAACAAGATACGGATTTTCAACACCAACCCAGTCAAGTCAGTGCTTCTGTATGGTTCAGAGACTTGGCGCGTTACGAAAGGGATTTCCAATAAACTACAGACATTCATCAATAACTGCTTATGCTCGCTACTGAAGATCAGATGGCCAGAAAGAATAAGCAAGAAGGAACTCTGGGAACGAACCAACCAAGAACCTATCACGCAACAAATATGCAGGAGGAAATGGAGATGGATTGGCCATGCACTGAAAAGGCCGACGGAGGACATCACGCGTCAGGCCCTCGAGTGGAATCCCCATGGGAAGCGACGAGTTGGACGTCCAAGGGTGACATGGAGGAGGTCGTGCGAGGAGGAAATGAGGGCTTGTGGGCTGTCGTGGAACCAGGTTCAAAAGATCTCAGAGAACAGAGGTCACTGGAGACGTGCTTCTGAAGCCCTATGTTCCACTAGGAACCCAAGGGACTAATAATAATAATAAACTAACTTTTATGATTCTGTTTACATAAATTAAGACGAAATGAATTGTAGTCAGTCATTGGCAATTTATACCTTATGGATTAAACCAATAAAGTATAAAATACCGGTAGAGTTGTGGATCATTGATTTAGGGAGTTCACTTTCAACCAATCAGTTACAAGTTCAAACACCACTCCACTAACCAAGGCGATCTGGGCAGCTAAGTAGTTGTATCACTAGCTCGCGCACACAATAGGTATGGTTCATTGTTGCCTATTGCACAAATGTGAGCAAGGTTGCTGAGTGGATTTCGATAAAGAGGCTGACAGTTTATAATTAAAATACAATCGTATATATGATATTTCAATTTGTCAATGTTTCACAATATACTTACTTGATATAATTGATGTGATATTGGTTTGGCAAAGCGTGTATCCCATACACCTACATTATGCTCACATACATTACGATCCACAGTATCTGAGCATGAACTAAAATGATACTGATTCAGCCAAAGCAGATCAGCCATCTAAAATGGAATTAATGTGTGTGTTTGTGTGTGAAAAATTGTAATAAAAATTTGAATTGTACACAAAGCAACGGATTAATATGTCATAAAAGAAATGATGAAATTCAAGTGGAAATCTTTGTAAAATCCCCCCAAACAGGATGAGATGTGAATCCTGAATTCCACTGCTACCCACCACTAAACAAATTATAACACAATGATTCTTATTTAAACAATGTAGAGACATCCGGATAGGAAGAGACCATCTGCCAGTAGATGGCAGGTGGCAAAGGTTACACGTTTCAGTTAAAAACGATCGACACCCGTCGCAAAAAGAGTAGCTCTCATGACTCAGAGGCCTAATGGATAACACTCTGGCGTGTGAAGCGATGGCTGCTGGGTTCGCGTCTCAGACGGAATGCCATCACTCACTGGGATGTTGGTGCATCTTTCTGACGAGTCCCAAACAGGATGAAACAAGTGTGCTGAATTCCACTGGGTAGATTGTAATTTTATTTTTTATCCGCTTGAATAAACAAATACTAAAATAATGCTGTCATCGTTGATAAATTATATCACAGAAAGTTGTGTAGTTCGGAACCAGTTAAGCTAATGTGTAAAGTTCTCTAGTCATGTCAGAAAGATCCTAACGATGAATATCTATTTCCATTATATAGTTCTGAGTTCATCAGTGGTTTGATCTGACGGTTTCTGTCCTAATTATCTCTCAGTTGGATTTCTCTTAAATGAATGATTTGTTATCTGAGATCGGCCATTGAGCTACTTCTTCAAATGGCTTCAAGGTAAACCCTTCTAAATGATACACTGTTAATCTTAATACAAGTGTAAAACTTGGGCACTATGGTAGAATGTAATTCCATATTAGATTTGTTTATTTGATGAAATAGCACACAGTGGGTAACATAGTAGTATTTAATTGATGACGACATTCCAACCATAAATTACTCTCGCTCATAATCATATCAATGTATCAATCATATAACTTTCAACATCTACTTTTTATAGTCCTGTCACCCACCTCATATTCTTTTTTTCTGTTGGTCGTAAACTCTTTTCTATATCTCTAGTATAAGTGTTGCGTCATCATTCGTATTACATGTGTTTGGTGTTGGTTGATTCGATGATCAAACATTCAGTAATTACGCTCTTCCTGTCTCTTCCTAATTATATTGTTGGACTTAAGCATAGTGGTTTCATCCCACCTATCCTATTGTGTGGTTGTGTATGCATTGCGATAGCCGAGTGTTTTTCCATATTAATGATCTTATTGGGGTGTATCATTCTTTATTTAACTAGATTCCTACCCCAATTACAGCTTTCTTGGCATTTAAGCCTATATATAAACTCACTCATAGATAAGTTTTGTTGGTTGGCTTAAGGATCTTATAGATCCAATTCAGCAAGACGATCTAATCTATCAAATTCCATGTGGTGACTGCGATGCTGAGCTTCCTAGCTTGGTTGCCACATTGCAAATATGATCGATAGGATTCGGTCTGCACTCAAGATTAGACAACATGAAATTGGTTGCACTCCTATGACCAATCAATACACATAGGTCAAACTAGCCAATCCGGGTGAGTTAGAATAGTGGAACATAGGAATTCAGTCAAATGTAGACTGATACACCGCAATAATATAGAGAAACATTCGGCTATCGCAATACATGCATTAACACACAATCATACAACAGAGTGGGGTGAAGCCACTTTACTTAAGTCCAATATAATTAGGTGGAGAGAGATAGATTGATTACTGAATGTATTTTTGAGATGAATGGGGATTTTTAATTTACAAGTAGTATTCATCATGGACTGATATCAGTTGGGGAACCATTGAAAATCTGGGAGCACTGGACAGCTGTTTCGTCCAACTGGGATGGGACTCCTCAGCAGTATGCACCCACAACCCCACCGGGGATCAATCTCAGGACCATCAAGTTTCACGAGGAACGCGTTAACCATTCAGCCACTGGGTCGGTTTCCACTGGTTCACAATTCCCAACTTTTATCAATTCACGACATAGCGTGACTGTCACCCAACGTCTTCCTTCAGATGGCATCCGCTTCACTTCCGACTGGTTGACCCCACAGGTCATTAGAACTTCCTGACATCCATCTGGAAGCAAGTCACTAATGAGCGCTATACATTAATGTATTTTTGAGATGAATGGGGGTTTTTAATTTAGAAGTAGCATTCATCATAGACTGACCGTTGAACCGTTAAAAATTTAGGAGCACTGGATAGCTGTTTCGTCCTAGTATGAGACTCCTCAACAGTACGCACCCAGTCCAGTGCTCCCAGATTTTTAATGGTCCCCCAACTGATTACTAAATGTTTGTTCGTCGAATCAACCAACACCAAACACATGTAATACGAATGATGACGCAACACTTATACTAGAGATATAGAAAAGAGTTTACGACCAACAGAAAAAAAGAATATGAGGTGGGTGACAGGACTATAAAAAGTAGATATTGAAAGTTATATGATTACATTGATATGATTATGAGCGAGAGTAATTTATGGTTGGAATGTCGTCATCAATTAAATACTACTGTGTTACCCACTGTGTGCTATTTCATCAAATAAACAAATCTAATATGGAACTGTCAATCTTAGCCTATTATATGGTTTGCTTCAATTCTATGATTCCTGTAGTATTGACGGAAATAATGTAAGACGAGAATCTAGTGTTGCCTATGATGGATTGAGCTTTCTTCTTACCTTTGTTGTTCGTTTCATATCTTGTTGACTTCCAAAAAATCTTTTGTTCAACGTATTACATAAGCAAGCTATGACTTTCTGGTATAACTCAACCTCCCCCTCCTCCTTTACAATTTGATAATTCCTGTATTTTATCTATCTTTCGTTACTGTTCCACATTAATCTTCCTTGATCTATTAAAAAAAAGAGGAAGTTGGATTGCACAAGGCTTAGAAAGTTGTCACTAGGATAGACGATGTATTTCTGGTCCAACTCAATAATATTGTAGTTGGCAGACATTTGAATTCAATCAACCAACTAGCTACATTCATTTCTATCAGATACTGAGTATCCAATTTATTCACAGCTCTCTCTTTGTACCTCCTCAGGGAGGATAAGAATAAATTATACTAGAAAATATCCTTGTATGGTTAAATACAAGAATTTGACTGTGCCTTATCTAGTGCTCATCATATATGAAGGAAAAAAAAAGTGTTACAACAGAACTTACTCATCAACTTAGTAACAATAAATAATCAGTTTTTTCAATATCCTGATAATTTATGTATAATTGCTGTCGTTACTAGTATTATTTACATAATATAGGTTGCAATGATTAACACTATTTCAAAATGCTGTGAAGGAGTATATACTTTTTTGAATAAAGTGATCATTATCATTACTGTCATTATTATTATTATTGATTTCAGGTTGATATTCATCATGTAGTGACATTAGCTGGTGAAACATTGAAAACCTGGGGTCACTGAATATCTGTTTTGTCCTAGAATGGGACTCCTCAGCAATGCTCACCGATAATCCCACCAGAGATGAGAAGTCATGATCGATGGGGTCATCCAAGAAGGATATGAGGTCAGTTACTCAACGACGACATTGGATGGAGGTCACGCTATATCATGAACTAACAGGAGCAGGAAATATGCACCGCTAGATTCCAACCCAATATTTTCACTGGTGAAATGCTGGCCGTGGAATCTGAATGTCCTCAGTTCGATCCATAGTTGGGGAAATGGATGCGTACTGCTGAGAAGTCCCATACCAGTGCTCTCAGGTTCCCAATAATTCTCCAGTTAATTGCAGTCTATGATGAATATCAATGCAAAATCGATGAATGAATTCCCAGTAACCAACAAATTGAGTCGTTATTGTTATTATTTGTAGGGGTGGATAATTTCGCACAGCCAAATTCTTCAAATTAAATGAATGAGGCTATCTGACTTACAAAGACTGATATACTATAAAGTATATAACAGATAAGCACCATATTTTTTCTTTTCATGCTTCAAAATGATACTGACTGAGGTTGAGTAATAACCAATGTTAAATGGACTGTCACTATGGAGATAACAAGCTATACTGTCATGTCATGGAGAAACGAAGTATACCGTCGAATAAAGCAATAGGCCATGATTCGTACTTGTTATTCAAAAAGTAATGATAATACTATCCAAACCTTGGTAGGCGAGGCAGGGTTTGGTCCCATGGCTTACCGATGGGATACTGAATACTTAATCCATTGATCTAAAGAACTCACTAGCCCTCACAAAATAGGTGTGGCGAATTATCGCCTACTGTACGAAATGTACACAAGGTTGCTCTCCAAACCTCGGAAGGTGAAGTGAAAATCGAAATCATGATCCACTGGTTAAGAGTTAACTCCTTAAACCGATGAGTTAGAGTTGTACAGCTACCGATCTACAAGTCTTCAGAAACACTGCCAACACTAAAATTAAGTGTGTGTGTGTGTGTATGCATGTGTATGTGAAAGAGCGACCAGTCATTTCAGTTAGATGTCAATATGAAGCAATTAGGAAAACAATAATAATCATTATTACAGTGTATACTCGTCTTACTGAAGCTTTTAATTCTGTATGCGAAAATTTCAACTGAGGTCGACTAGACATTGGCACACGTAGATCCCATAAGCTAATTATACCGCTAATCCCGCTAGTTAGCAAACTATTTGATGATTCTTCAATTGGTAATGATGCACAGCGTAATAATGGACCAGTTTGTAAGGAAACATTAAATTCTCGAATTTTTTTCCCTGGAATAATCGAAAAAAAAGGGGTAGAGAAATCTAAGAGAAATTATTTTGTATTGAAATCTGATAAATTAAAAACGTTTTTTTTTGTTGAAGAGTAGCAAAAAGTATGAAACTCAATTTAAAGGCTATAAGAATATACTTGTACTTAAACAACTCTTAATCCAAACATTGAATATTGACTAGAAAATATTTGAGGTTAACTACAATTATAAAACACTTGATAGGCAGATTTCAATCTGTTCTGTCAGCTACAGAGCGGAAAATGCAAATCTTAGGTAAGAAGTGTCATTTGGTTATGTATTATTCAATTTATTTTAAAAGTTATTTTGTTTATGATTTAATTGGTAGCATTTTATTGTTTAGTTGAGTCGGTTCAATAGGTCACTGGTTCAAATCCTACTGTGAGTAACAGGAAAACTGTTCAAATTGTAACACATCAACCTTAATTCACTTATATAACTATGTTATTCATTTTCATTATAGCTAAGTTTACAAGTTATGTAGCTGTGATAATCAAATATCAAAATATACACCAAGTTTACAGTAACTAAAGCTCATTTTATCGTTCTTATATAATTGAGTTTTCTTATATCAGTATGACGGGGGCTACACATGAATGAAAATCTTCGAATGAATAGAGAAAAAGATTTGGATTTCGCCGACGATTTATGTTTAATGCCGAACAAACTCCATGATCTACACGAAAAAACCAACAAGTTGACAAAAGAGGCAACGCAGCAAAGACACGACTTCAAGTGAATGTAGAGAAGACGGAAGTAAAGATGGTGAAGATACCCAACCAACAACAACAACACCATCAACAACAAGCACACATCACTATTAAAAGGAGAAACCTAAACGAACTAGTCTCTTTCACCTACCTACATACCTAGGCAACATCGATTCAACTACAGGCGATACAGGCACAGACGAGGATGTCAAAACCAGTCAGGATCACAAAGACAGCAAGACAGGTCTTCCTTCATCAATCTGAAATTATCAGTGTGGAGATCTACTGCACTCAGCACAAAGCATGAACAATATCCGGATTCCAAACAACAATTTCTAGTCACTGCTTCATGTGGTTGATGATTCAGAAACTTCGCGTGTCACCAAAAGCATTTCCAACAAACTACAGACATTCATCATCAACAGCTGCCGTCTACGCTCACTCGATACTGAAGATGAGATCAGATGGACAGGAAGAATAATTAACAGGGAACTCTGGCTGGCAATGAACCAACGAAGCAAGAACCTATCACCCAACAAATATGCAATGGAAGAAAGTGGAGATGGATTCGATTGAGCATACACTGAGAAGACTGACTCTGGACATCATGCACCAGGTTAGGCCAGGCTGTCGAGTGGAATCCAAAGGGTAAATGACGAGTTGGGCGTCCCAGCTGAGGGTGACATGGGGGAGATGATGTGTGGAGGAAATGAGAGCTTGTGGGCAGTCGTGGCGTCTGGTTCAAAAGACTGTAGAGAAGAGAGTGCAATGGAGGCGTGCTACTGAAGCCATATGTTCCGGTAGGAACCCAAGGGATTAATAATAATAATAATAATAATAATGATAATAATAATAATAATAATAATAATATATTTACATGTATTTTTATTAATCGTTTGGTATCCTGGGTATAAAAAGAAGAAAAAACAACCATTATTGCATGATCTTGTTTTGTCAATCATCAGTCATAATTATTTACTATAGCGAATTCACTCTAGTCATGTTTGAGCTTACTCACATTTGAGAAGATATAAATATTCTTTGTATGCATCTTATATGCGGTTTATAACTTTTCCCCTGGATTTAATCAAGACTCTGAATAATGAAAAAGGTTTTTAAGCAACACTAACTGTTAGTTGATTTAATCAAACTGATACGACTCTATTGGTAGATGAGTTCATGTTCTCATACCACAATATTGCTGATATTAAGAATAAATAGTGGCTGTCAGTGAAATTCATGACTGGCGTTTCATGAAATTCTGTATTTGTCAGATGAATGCACATACCTTTCGTTGAGTGATATTATCCAATATCTCAGTGAATCATAATAAACGCTCCTCATTATATTAGTGAAAATACCATTTATATGGAAGTATCCACACGGAGGAGCCCATATGCCAATAGAGGTCGATCAATTCAGTCATATCAACGAAGGAACATCACAACCTATAATATCTAAACCATGCTATATCCTTTGTACAAGGAGTGGCTATCGTGATTCAGTAACCTAGCATTTGGAATGACTGGATCTGGGTTCGAGCTTCGATCGGGACAGAATTACTCCTTAGGAGGTAGGTACACCCTGCTGACGAGTCCCAAATAAGACGAAATGTGCATAGTAGATTTCACCATTAACTACTATCCATCCTCAATACAAGCTCGATCTATATACAAGAGTGTGGGACAAAAAAAAGAAATAACCAAAGATACAAAAAAAGGAACCAATTAGAACACTAAAATTAATTGATACGTTTATGTAACACACATACCATAATTAATATCCCAAATTTCTATGTATCCCATACTGGTAGCTGTTATTAATTGTAAACATTGTGAATCTATTTCAGCAGGAAAAAATCTTGTCCAACAATAATAATCTCGTCTTATAGGCGAACATGAAGGTGATGCTGCTGCTCCTGATGATGATGAGAAAAAACGTTGATGGTTTATATGAATTTCATGGTCACAGATTAGTGTAGGTTTACTTAAAGTATGATGATATGGAAGTTTCCATATCAAGATATGAGATGATACATGATCAGCTGACTGATCTAACTGTCGACATAATGGTCCACATAATGCAAGATATGGCCAATGAAGAGTTAAACGAGGATAGATTAAAGTTTCATTTGTACACGAAATATTAGACGCCTAATTATAAAGTTTTAAGAAAAAAAAAAGGTATAACGATTTTAACAAGGATATTATTTAAAAAGCACTTTTAAAATACGTCACGGAATGATATCGGTTAGAGAATCATTGAAAATCCAACAACGCTGGATAGCAGATGCTTCGTCTCGTTATGGAACTCCTCAGCAGTACACACTGGGAGATGAACTCAGAACCTTCAGGTTTCCTGATGAACACTTTCACCATTATCATATTGGATTAGAGTTCAATGATTCACAGTTTTCTACTTCTGTCTAATATATGATATAGTGAGGTTATCTACTAAGGTATTCAGTTGAAATTCGCCTCACTTTCAATTGGTTAACACCACAGATCATGACTTCTCATAGGAATTTCTCGAATGAATACTACCATGATAAAAAAAATTCTCATAAACATCTGACTACATTTTTATAATAGACTGGTGTGAAAACTTATAAAGATAATTCTCATTAAAAGTTGATATTTTTCAACCACTTATATTGTAAATACTAAAATAATTGACAGTGAACATATTACACTAATGATACTATTCAAGGTGTGTTAACAACATCATTCCCAGCATTATCATAAGCGCTGAACATATTTTCTAACATTTCTAGCTTTAATTCCTTCAACATTAAAGCAAAGAAGGAAAGGTATCTGCAGACTACTTCGAAGAAGGGCCACCTTATAAAACTCCCAAAGAAGGGAGACCCAAACCTTTGCAAGAACTGCCAAACAATAATACTCCTATCCACACCAACCAGCATATTATGTCGCATTATCCTAGAGAGACTAAAAAAAATGTTCCCTATTCAAAATACGACTGGAAAAGGCTGGCTGACTTCAGGAAGAACAAATCATGTGTGGATCAGATTGCAACGCTACGGCGCGCATCATTATAGAACAGAGTATACAGTGGCAGTCAACTCTATACCACAACGTCATCAACTTTGAAAAGGCCTTCGACAACATCTACCGAGAAGTAAATTGGCAGTTGCTTCAACACCACGGAGTGTCACAAATCTTTATCAACAGCTATATGAAGACGCCACATGAGAAGTGATCTGTAATGGAAAGCTCAGTGATGCTTTTGAAGTGAAGACAGGAGTAAGGCAAGACAATGCCGCCTACTATCACCCATGATATTCCTGATTGTGGTGGACTGGATCACGCAACAAACCATGAGGAGCGAGAAGAGGGACATACGCTGGACCAGTGAAAGGAGCCTCGAAGATTTGGATTTCGCCGACGATTTATGTTTAATGCCGAACAAACTCCATGATCTACACGAAAAAACCAACAAGTTGACAAAAGAGGCAACGCAGCAAAGACACGACTTCAAGTGAATGTAGAGAAGACGGAAGTGAAGATGGTGAAGATACCCAACCAACAACAACAACAACACCATCAACAACAAGCACACATCACCATTAACAGGAGAAACCTAAACGAACTAGTCTCTTTCACCTACCTACATACCTAGGCAACATCGATTCAACTACAGGTGACACAGGCACAGACAAGGATGTCAAAACCAGTCAGGATCACAAAGACAGCAAGACAGGTCTTCCTTCATCAATCTGAAATTATCAGTGTGGAGATCTACTGCACTCAGCACAAAGCATGAACAATATCCGGATTCCAAACAACAATTTCTAGTCACTGATTCATGTGATGATTCAGAAACTTCGCGTGTCACCAAAAGCATTTCCAACAAACTACAGACATTCATCATCAACAGCTGCCGTCTACGCTCACTCGATACTGAAGATGAGATCAGATGGACAGGAAGAATAATTAACAGAGAACTCTGGCTGGCAATGAACCAACGAAGCAAGAACCTGTCACCCAACAAATATGCAATGGAAGAAAGTGGAGATGGATTCGATTGAGCATACACTGAGAAGGCTGACTCTGGACATCATGCACCAGGTTAGGCCAGGCTGTCGAGTGGAATCCAAAGGGGAAATGACGAGTTGGGCGGTCGAGGAGAGGGTGACATGGGGAGATGATGTGTGGAGGAAATGAGAGCTTGTGGGCAGTCGTGGCGTCTGGTTCAAAAGACTGGAGAGGGGAGAGTGCAATGGAGGCATGCTACTGAAGCCCTATGTTTCGGTAGGAACCCAAGGGATTGATAATAATAATAATAATAATATACTGCTGGATAAATTGCGATACTATTTGAAACCATGAAGAGGAGATTGAATTACCTTAAATTTGTTCTCACCTAAAATTCAAGCCAGTTAAATCGTATGTTAACGTAATAGGCTATTATTTTATTATTATTTATTTGCCCCTTGGGTTCGTAATGGAGCATAGGGCTTCAGTAGCATGTCTCTATCACACTCTGTTCTCATCTATGTTTTGAACCTGGCTCCATGACAGCCCACAACATCTCATTTCCTCCTCGCACGATCTCCTCCATGTCACCCTCGCCTCGGACACCCAACTTGTCGCTTCCTATCGGGGTTTCACTCGAATGCCTGGCTTGGCGCTTGATGTCCCCAGTCGGCTTTCTCAGTGTATGCCCAATCCATCTCCACTTCCTTCTGCATATTTGTTGAGTGATAGGTTCTTGGTTGGTCCGTTGCCCGGCCAGAGTTCCTTATTGCTTATTATTTCTCGCCTTCTCATCCGATCTTCCCTAACGAGCGTAGACAGTTGTGGATGAATGTCTGTAGTTTGTTGGAAATGCCGTTCATAACGCGCCAAATCTCTGAACCATACAGGAGCACTGATTTGACGTTGGTGTTGAAAATTCGCATCTTGTTCCACATGCTGAGTGCAGTGCAATAGATCTTCACACTGATTTCAGGTTAATGAACCCCTGTCTTGCCTTTCCGATTCTGACTTTGACATCCTCGTCTGTGCCGCCTGTAGTTGAAACAGTGCTGCCCAGATAGGTGAAAGAGGCTACTTCCTTTAGGTTTCTCCCGTTAATGGTGATCGGAGCTTGTTGTTGTTGGTTGGGTATCTTCATCACCTCTGTCTTCTCTATATTCACTTGAAGTCCCGTCTTCATTGCCTTGCCTCTTCTGTCAAGTTTTTGGTTTTCGCCTGTAGATCTTCAAGTTTGTGTGACATTAGACACAAGTCTCCAGCGAAATCCAAATCTTCCAGGATCTTTTCCCCGGTCCAACCAGCGTATGCCCCTCTTCTCGCTCCTTAAGGTTTGTTGCATGATCCAGTCCACTACAATCAAGAATATGATAGGTGATAGTAGGTAGCCTTGTTTTACTCCTGTCTTCACTTCAAAAGCATCACTGAGCTTCCCATTGTACTAGGCTATGAATCATACTTAATATGCAAAATACTTATAATACAACATGATTGGGTAGGTTGAAGTAGGTAGTCTGAGATTTATATATTGAAATGACTATTCGGAGATTGAGTGTTCAGGTCAGCGAGTAACACTGACATACTAACTAACTGACCAAAGGATGCCAATATATAAACTTCATCACCGAAAATGGTCATAATTTTTGAGATTCCTTAAGATGAGTTGAAATAATAATCTAATGTTCCTGACGAATATTTCTACCTCAAGATGTCGATGTCTAGAGTGACAGCTAGTGTCTCAGTTTGTAAACGTTTCAATGTCATACTAGGAATTAAAATCATCAATGATTCACAGCTTTTTAAGGAAGTGATACACTGATGACGATGTCTGGTATGACAGTGAAACGTTTGCCAACTACGACATTAGCTCAGAGAACAACACTCTAACCCTTTGAATTGATTTCAAGCATTCAAAATCATGATGAAAGAAATTGTCAATTACTTACCTCATGATTGATTACATAAGCAATGGAAGATTTATTGTTACAATGTGTAGTTTCAGCGTCTTGTTTCTTTTGACTGGAAGCATTTTTCTGATAGAATGTGCTTTCTCCTTCTTTTATTGATGAAGACAGTTGATCTTCCTTAATAACTGGTATTTTACTCGGTAGTAAATCATTATTATGTATTGTCGACGTCCAGAACTTATCTGAACAGAAAGTATTAGAAAAATTATGATAAAAAAGATGACAGGGTAAAAAGTAGTGATTGGTCAGGTAGATTTCTGGATAAGAGAATACTAGGCCGCATGGTGTATAAAAGGTAAAGTCATAGGGACGAAGAGATCTACTAAATGGTGGGAGTTATTCGGCAGAAAATCCTAGACCTAGGTTCGTGGTTACTAGCACTCATCAGCAAGCTAGAGTTCCCTCACTCGTTGCAATCTTCGTCTCTCAGTTTTGAAGCCAGCGGCGTAGCAACTGAGTTATTGTAGCCACTGGATCGTGTACACGACTTGGACATCAGTGATAGCCATCAAGTGCTTAGTACATGGCATAGGTCAAGGTTAATCGATCAGGGGATCAGTTATAGCCTGAGCAGATATGTGGTGAGGTTCCTGACATCACCACTGGGCGACACATATTCGGATTATTGAAGGAGCCCCGGTTTCCTCGTAGATGCTTAGAGGCCCTGCTGGTGAGTACCAACGAGCGAGTAAACCTAGGTTCAGAGCTTTCTGTCGATTGACAAGTTTAACCTAATTTTAAAATACAGTGCACCTCAGTGTCATGTCATTTCATTTATTGGCAACAATGAAAAACTAACTTGATCGATAAACTTTGATCAGTATTGAGCGCAAAAGTTTAGACAGCTAAATCAGTTACCGAATGGTGACCAAACTGCATAAACAATTCCATTTTATAAATAATGAAAGGGAAATCTTTAAATATCTAAGATGGCAAAATGTACTCCCATCTGTTGTATCATCAAAGAGAATAGGATGCTATGGGTGAAGAAGCCCTGTTCCATCCAATTACTTATATCCTACTTGTTGCCATCATCAAAATCTTCTGTTTGTAACTAACAAGAAATGAATGTTCCTAGGGGAAAATAGTACATTTGTCAGTCAGTTTTAATGTTGAAAAACTAACCAGTACACAATCCAGGTGTATTTACAAAGAAACATCAGTGAAATTATATGCAGAGGATTATTCTGATGGTAGTTATCTTTGAGCTGGATGGTTTAATTGTGAAGCTTTCATTACCATTCTAGACAATAAAAGTTTCATGATTAAATCATCCAACTCAAAGAACACTACACCATCAAAATTATTCTCTTGAACTATAAATATTCTTCCTTATTGAAAAGCATTACTTTTTTTCTCTTTTTAAAATTACCAAGCTAAAGAGTTGGCACATAGTTTCTGAATATTTTGGCATTTGACTTCAATTAAACCAAACTGAATATGATGTACTACGACACAATAATAATAATAATAATAATAATAATAATAATAATAATAATAATAATATCTACTTTATTCCAGACAGTATTTTCAGCGTAATTTGTAATTCTCATCGTGTAACATTCTAACAAAAATTAACAATAGATATAATTTAGAAGTAGTATTCATTATGGACTGTGACATCAGTTGGGGAACCATTGAAAATCTGGGAGCACTGGACAGCTGTTTCGTCCAACTAGTATGGAACTCCTCAGCAGTATGCACCCACGACCCCACCAGGGATCAGTCTCAGGACCTTCAGGTTTCACGGCGAATGCGTTAACCATTCAGGTACTGGGTTGGTTTCCAGTGGTTCACAATTTCCAACTTCTGTCAATTCACAACATAGCGCGACTGTCACCCAAGGTCTTCAGATGGCATCCACTTCACTTCCGACTGGTTGACCCCACCGGTCACAACTTCGTGAATTGACAGAAGTTGGAAATTGTGAACCACTGGAAACCAACCCAGTACCTGAATGGTTAACGCGTTCCTCGTGAAACCTGAAGGTCCTGAGATTGATCCCTGGTGGGGTTGTGGGTGCATACTGCTGAGGAGTCCCATACTAGTTGTACGAAACAGCTGTCCAGTGCTCCCAGATTTTCAATGGTTCCCCAACTGATGTCACAGTCTATGATGAATACTACTTCTAAATTAAAATTCTCATTCATCCAAAAAAACAGATATAACTATTATACCAAATGAATAATAGTGAATGTTAGTAGTAATGCAGACAGTAATGCATAACTGATAACAAGAATAAAATAATTTAGAAATAGTATTCATCAAGGACTGACATCAGTTACGGAACCACTAAAAATCTGGGAGCACTGGACAGCTGTTTCGTCCAACTAGTATGGGACTCCGCAGCAGTACGCACCCACGACCCCACCAAGGATCGAACTCATCACCTTCAGGTCTCACGGCAAACGCGTTAACCATACAGTCACTGGGTCGGTTTCTATTCATCTCAAAAATCCAATAAAATAATTCCAAGTTGTTATTCATCGTAGACTGACATCAGTTGGAGGAACAAAGGAAGCCTGGGAGCACTGGACAGTTGTTTCGTCCTAATATTTCCACAACCCCCTCAAAATCCAATAAAATAGTTGTTTGCCTACTGTTACAAAGCTAATCAGTAAGTTTATTTCTAACATTTCTTTTTTTCAGACAAGATGTGTATTAAAAAATATATGGGCATTGTGGTAGATTGTAATTCTATAGTGAATATGTCCATTTAATATTACCACATTGTCTAATATTTTTTATCTTCCAGACAATATATTACTTATTTATGAGCAATCGATATTTTATGCGCATAGTTTCTTACTATCCTCTGATTGGTTGTCTATTAGTCATCTGTTATTGTCTGATTGGTCGAAGTTATGAGATGACATTGACCGATTTAACATTAATTAACTGTAGCTTACATGATGTTTGCTATTGAATCACCTTGAATGTGAGTGCATAAAATTTATATACTAATTATTAGTATATATATATATATATATATATATATATAGTTATTATTATTATTATCATTATTTCGAGAAAATCAGACTTTACATGACTCCCAGATGTGTTAACACGGGTGAATCTCAAACACAGTGATATATTATTATTTTACGAATAGAATCAACACTAAACACATGTGATACGTATGACTAAGTATCAATCCCAAGCAAGAGAACGTAACATAGTTAGATAAACCAAACAAAACAAGGAAGTTATGTAGTCGCCTTGATTTGATTTTGAATAATAACTTATACTCAAAAACGTCAAATTCAATAAATAATACTGTATCAATGTGGAAAGAAACCTGCATAACCGTTACAGGAAGGAAGAGGAAACAAACCAAGGGATGCATCTCCATGGACACATGGAAGCAGATAGACGAGAGGAAGATCGTGAAGTAGAATATGAACCAGTGCAAAGATGAACAACGAAAAGAAGGACGAGTACAACGTACAAAACACTGAACAAAGAAGTGAAAAAGAGTGCACGCAAAGACAAAAGACCCTTCTAAGAAACATTCGCAAGCAAAGCAGAACAGGCTGCAGGTAGGAGAGACAGAGACCCGACAACATTATATCAAATGACCGGGTTATTACCTGGGAAGAGATCAACGCAAACGAAACCAATGAAAGATAGTGAAGGAAAGCTAGTTACCAAAGAAGAGGAACAAAGCAAACAAAGGGGTGACCATTTCAAAAAGCTCTTGAATCGACCAACACCACCACCTGCAACTAATCCAGAAATACCACCAGCAGCTCAGCCACAGAACTATCAGTGAACATAGGCCCTCCGACAAAAACAGAAATCCTGAATGCCATAAAACTGCTGAAATCCGAGCAAGCAGCAGGACCAGATGGAATTCTTCCAGAACCACTGAAAACAGATGCAGAGACAACAGCAGACATGCTCACAAAACTACTGCAGAAGGTTTGGAAGGAAGGAAAGGTACCTGCAGACAACTTCGAAGAAGGGCTGCCTTATAAAACTCCCAAAGAAGGGAGACCCAAGCCTTTGCAAGAACTGCCAAACAATAATACTCCTATCCACACCAACCAGCATATTATGTCGCATTATCCTAGAGAGACTAAAAAAAAACATTCCGTATTCAAAATACGACTGGAACAGGCTGGCTGACTTCAGAAAGAACAAATCATGTGTGGATCAAATTTCAACGCTACGCGGCACATCATCATAGAACAGAGTATACAGTGGCAGTCAACTCTATACCACAACGTCATCAACTTTAAAAAAGCCTTCGACAACATCGACCAAGAAGTGAATTGGCAGTTGCTTCAACACCACGGAGTGTCACAAATCTTTATCAACCTCATTCAACAGCTATATGAAGACGCCACATGAGAAGTGATCTGCAATGGAAAGCTCAGTGATGCCTTTGAAGTGAACCAACTAAGAACCTATCACCCAAAAAATATGCAATGGAAGAAAGTGGAGATTCATTGGATTGGATATACACTGAGAAGACCGACTATGGACATCACACACCAGGTTAGGCCAGGCTGTCGAGTGGAATCCAAAGGGGAAATGACGAGATGGGCGTCCCAGCTGAGGGTGATATGAAGGAGATGATGTGTGGAGGAAATGAGAGCTTGTGGGCAGTCGTGGCGTCTGGTTCGAAAGACTTCAGAGGAGAGAGTGCAATGGAGACGTGCTACTGAAGCCATATGTTCCGGTAGGAACCCAAGGGATTGATAATAATAATAATAATAGTATGTTTTGAGCGATTGTATTTAGCCTTACGAGTACCACATATTTATATGAAATTGCTTCTTGTTCACTCTGAAAAGAGAAATACAAGGAGAAAGTGGTAAACAAAGAGAATATTTAACGACTGATAAAATGACTGTAGCCTGTACGAATTCAACTGATGAAATATACCCATTTATTCATGAATAAGAAGAAAGTATGTATCAACGAAGAAGAAGCATTTCTTTTCAATGACTTCATTATATCAACATGCACAGTCATATTTATACTCGTTAAAATGACACATAATTGCACTGGAAACTTGCTCAGTTAATATGCAAAATATACAATAGGTATAATTGATGGAATCTGTTCAAATGGAAGAAGTAGAAAATGAATAAGGAAAGACCAAAAGATAACAAATGGTGAGATAAGCTACAAGTGCTGTCATAGAATTGTAAAATGGTGATAATTAAACTGAAAC